CAACACGCAACCTATGAAGCAAGCAGCCTTGAGCAATGTGCACCTAGCATGATCCAATTACTTTGCAGCAGACAGGCCTGCTCTGTCCATCACATGAAAAATGGAAAGCGAAAAGTTGGAAATCACTCACTTCGAAACACAACACAAGGTCCGAAAATGAAAAGGAGCAAAAACAGAAGAGTCCTGCATTCACTTTTCCTTATACTATAACTGTCTGTCATAACTGATTCCCAATGACAAGTTAACTGTTGTTCCCATCAATGTTTTTGGTGCTGTGGAAGTCCAGCTCTTCCGCACTGCACTGAGCAAACAACAAAGACTGTGAGCCCAAGCTGCTCTGGGTGCAACTCAATAAAGCAAGGACGAAGAAACTTGGCCTGGAATAATTCATTAGTGCCATATGACACAGGTTTTCTTTCGACGGTTCTCCAAACAATGCTTGCCAGCCAATTTTAGACCTTGACTGCATTTCTCTACATCTAGGGCACTCGTGCTGTAATGTTGGGTGCCCAGCAGCATGTGCAATGCAACCAACTGCTCCCGCTGAGTGGGCGAGAGGTCCTAAACAGTGCAGCTGGGGGCAGTTCAGGCCTTCACCATCCAGGGTGGCAGTGTACAGCTGCAGCTGAAAAAGATTAGCACAAGTGACCAATGACCGGAGTAGCAAAATTGCGACAGGCAGCTCTATTGTTCCCGAGCGCGCCGATAGCAAGTGCCAGTCATGTTCCATGTCTGAACGTTGGTGGCTGCCAGAAAATTGAGGGATAAGATAGCTTTCGGAATGCAAGCTTTAGGATGGGCTGCTTTGTGCCGGCCGCCACCGTGTGTCGCGATTTTGCTGCTCCGGTCGTTGGTCGCTTGTGCTTATCTTTTTCCGCTGCAGCTCTACCTGCTGACTGGTGCACAGCTGACATGACACAGTTTCAGTAGCATGCATACATGGTTTGCAAGTAATGTCATGTCAGTATAAAAGACAAGACCTTTGAGTACTTCCAAGGGCACCGTGTTGGTGACCACCACTTGGTACATGTCAGATGTGGTTAATGGCACAGGCTGCTCATATTGCCATGCACGTCTCCGAGCAAGCTTGCCCGTGGCCGAATGGTTATTGTGCTTAGCTTGCACACAAAGGGCTGAGGTATGATGCCTGGCCGCACATGCACCTTTTTGTTATTTCTGTAAATGTTGCATTCTGGTTTAATTCAAGAATCCCATTGCTTGTTCAAAGTCAGAATGTTCTACGCACCAAACTTTCTATGCCGATTGTTCCAGAAGTCCACGCATATACATGAGGGGTACTGCGTGGCGATACAGAGAGTCTCGCTCTTGCGCTCAATCGTGCTACCCCGCCGACCTTCGATGCCTGTGATGCTACCTCTTTGTATTTTTGTTTTCGGCACGAGTTTGCCAAATTAAACGTTTAGTTTCTGTTCATTCGTCACCTGACCATCTGTCATTCGCGAAATTTTGGTGGATGTGCGGGACCTTAACAAAAAGGTGCATGCGCGGCCAGAAATCGAACCTTGGCCCTTTGTGTGGGAACCAAGTACGAGAACCATTCGGCCACGGGCGCGCTTGCTCGGAGACGTACGGGGAAATATGTGCCAGTGCAGGCACTTGGGCTAAGCCTAGGCAGAAGTTTAAACCGTCAAGTGATGATGACAAAGTTTGTCCGTGTTTGTCCAGTTCAGTACGCAGAAAATATTGCTCTGTGTGGTGGTGAGAACCATCTGCTACTTATTCTCAACTGTGACAGATTGTGATATCTAGCCAGAGGTGGAGGACGTGAATACCTGAGTGCAAAAAATGAAGAGAGGTATACAAAACTGCACGCCGATGATTTTGCCGAGTTCGACAAGCAATGCCCAGCCAGGTGCGTCCTGCTTCCACAGCCCTTTGCAGCAAATACTTTTAGAAGTGGACTTTTTATATAAATAGCAGACACCGGTGTTGGAATTAGTGAGCCAGTTTTGTCTTAGTGTCATTCCCTTGTCAATTTCAGGGCAGTGGGTGGATGTGGTGCTGCCGGGAATGTTCGGTGGAAGCAGGTTGCTGTTGGGAAACAGGACCGGAGGCACCGTCTTTTTTTTGACACAGTCTCATTAATTGGATCTGTGTCTTGTCCGACACAAAACTCAAGTAACCATGTGTGGATTGTCTCTGCACCATGTGTACACTTAAGTTTTTGTAAGTCTTGCTGATGTGTCACCTTGCTAGAAACATCACGGTTGGACCTACAGCCCCCTTGGGAGTTACCGACCAGGCACAATATGTTAATGACAGCATCTTCTACATAGTTATGCACAGTGCAGGTCATGTTCACATTTTTGTGCAATTGCTGAGATGGGTACAAAAGCTGTCACTTTGGGCCACTGGAGCCAGCACAGTTCACCATGATCACAGTGTAGCAAAGCTGCAACCCCACAACATCAATGGCCACCAGCATGAGGCTACCGACGGCACTCATGCATAATACATGTCCTGACACAGGCGCAAACCACGTATTGTGGAGATGAATCCAGACTGTTTTTCATACCTACCATTTGGTGGTGGTGGAGCTGCCATCTATGCTGGGTCCTCACTAGCACCTTTGGCCACAGCAGATGAGTCCTGCATCATCCAATCAAACACAAGTTAACGCACAACAAATTGGCAGCCTTTCTGGTTCCGCGTTGATGTAATGCCCAATTGCCTACACTTTAGAATTCAGGTATCGGAGTGCCTCATGCACAGCTCTAGAGAAATTAACTCGTCAGCTTGAGCGCTACGATCCGAGCTTTCAAAGAAACATCACGAGGCAGCACATTCGTGCAAAGTCAATAAGACCAAAAACAACACAGTGTCTGTTTACTACAAGTAGCAAGTTTTAAGAGACCGTTACCGTGTTCTGCGGTGGACACGGTGCGGCTGGTAAGGCTTTAAGCGCGCTGAAAAGCATGCTTCAAAGTTACAGCGCGAGCTCCCAGTAGCAATTTCGCTGCGCACGGCAACGGTACGCTAAAACCGCCCATTGAGATGCCATGCACTTACTTACCGACACTGCAGCCGAGATGCCGAGTGGCGACGAACGAGGCGCGTCCGCCCTCGAAATCATGCGCCTTCTTCCGTGTCTTAGCGAGGAACCTTTCTCATATGGGCCAAGATTCTGTCCTACTCCTCGAGTTCAGCGAGGACACTTGGGTCAGGTCCCCCACCAGACTGCCGAGTGGTAATCGCGACGTGAAAAAGCCCGACTTGACAGCAAAAATTCCAAAAGTGAGGCAAATCTTCGTACAGACACACGAACACTTTTCGTGCGACATCCACCGTCGGCCATGACGATTCATCACGATCGCGATGCAGCTCACGCATTGCGATCATCTAAATTGTTTCACTTACGTAAAAAGACATGATTCATGCGACCTGGACTTGACACCGGTAATTATATTTAGATTGTACCGCATTATACATTTTCAGAAGTTAAAAATGTTGCTTTTACAAGACCCTTCGATGCGGCCTTGCGCATTTCCCTCTAGGGACATATTTTGGGGACAAATCCCGATGAAGTTTCAACTCAATCGCCACTCTCCGTCGACGTCATCAACGCGCCGCGATGAAGTTCCCTGCCAGTTGAGTTCGCCGCCGATTGAGATTAGGCTCCTCCCACCGGCGACGTCACGATGAAGTTTCTTCATCGCTTTTTCCAGCATAGACAGACAGATCAGCCGCTTTCGCACACCATGCATAATCGCGCATCTGAACATACCACCTCGTTAGGGTGCCTCCACATGCGCTTTGCCTAACCATGTTCTCCTAAATTATTTTCTTTTTTACTTTCTTGGAGTGCGTGAAAGCACGTCTCGGCATGCACTCTTGGCCTTAAAGGGGTACTCCGCCGATTTCTTCATGGTCCCCGATTTGCTTGAAATTTTGCTAAACTCGCCAAACAACATCGCCAAAATAGTATCCCAAATATTAGGTCAAAATAATTTTTTTTCACGAAGTTATTGAATTTACAATTTTGGTCCTCACCGTGTTTTTCAAACTGAAAGTCTCTATTGGCAACAATGAAGAAGTGACGTCATTGGAAGTGCAGGGGTTCACTCTTTGGACTGTAGAATTTGTTCCCAACTGATTTGAAGCAGTTTCATGGTGTCAAATGAATGCCTTGGAAGCTCCCTCCAGTCCCCGCGCTCCAGCACGGAACAAATAATTGGCATATTCTATTTTTTAGACTGCTCGCCCGACTGGCAAGCTGAACTTCCACTGACGTCACGGCCCTGAAAAGGGCGGGTATATTTGAATGTCTGTTTTTGCATCATTTTCATTTGCCGATTTCGCAATAACTATTATGAATTTCACGATATTAAATAGCATTCCAGAAAGGGTAAATGCCTGGGAGTCAGAAAATATAGTTAGTTGAGGTAGCTCAAAAATCGGCGGAGTACCCCTTTAACTGTACTACAGTGGCATTTTCTCCCCGGAAATTCCTTCGCCTTCTCTTTGTGAGCGCGTACTTTTGACATGAAATACTACAAAGAATTTCAACACCCAAAACGGAAGAACGTTGAGGCACCCTCCCTCAACTACGGTGTCTGGAACGCGCCTTCGACAGGTGCTCTTACGGAGTCTGCCCATGCGGCGAAGGTGGTCCGGAAGTGACAACAAATTGTCTCACAGGAACCGGTGTGTCACATTCCCGGGTGTCGCGATCCTGGCGGTTGGCCTTAGAAACGCTAGCGAAAATGGAAAGCGGACGCAAGGGTCGTTTTTCTTGGCGCCCCACCACGTGTCCGCTTCGGTTTACGTCGACTATACGGCTACAGCGCAATATACAGCAGGATAAGCGTCTGCCATATTCACCCCCGCCGCTGTCCCACAGCCAGGATCGCGGCAGGCAATAGCATGACAGTTTTATGACATCATCAGTCGAAAATCAACGAACAGTTTTGAAGACGCGGTAAACACACCAGTCGGACACGAGCTCCAGGCACCATATTGAAACCGCAGGCCGCAGCGCCATGGCACAGCTCCAGCTCGGAGACCAAGGGACCGGCCTCCTCCTGCTCTTCTTCTCGCTACTGCTGCTCCTGGGCTGCCTGAGCCTCCTGGCACGCACCCTCAACCCAGCCTTGAGGCTACACCTGGTCCTTGCGCTCTCGCGCCTCCCCAAGGGCTTCATCGAGGGCTACACCTGCCTCTGCCTGGGCCTCCTGGTCACCCTAGTCCTCCAGAGCAGCACGGCTGTCAGCTCCATGCTCACGCTCCTCTCGGCCGCAAGTGAAGTGGACCTGGAGCGCGTGTACCCACTGCTCCTGGGCGCCAACATCGGCACCACGACCACGGGCATCCTGGCCGCCTTAGCGGGAGAGCCGACCCGCGACGCTCTGCAGCTGGCCCTATGCCACAGCTTCCTGAACGTCTACGGCGCGCTCCTCTTTTACCCGGTGCCCTTCATGCGGTTCCCACTGCCCCTGGCCCGACTGTTGGCGAGCACGGCCGCCCAGTACCGCTGGTTCGCGCTCGCCTACCTCCTGGTCCTCTTCGTCAGCCTACCCGTCGTTGTGCTTGCGCTGTCCTTCGTCGGTACCGCCTTATTCAGCGCCATCGGCGTGCCGGTGTTGCTGGCGGCGCTGTCGCTGTTGGTTCTGAACGTGGTCCAGCAGAGGCGGCCTCACTGGCTCCCACCCGTGTTCCGGACGTGGGCCTGGTTGCCGCTGTGGATGCACTCGCTGGCGCCCTTCGACCTGCTTCTGGAGCGGCGGGTGCTCAGCCGCTGCCGCGTCCTGGATGCGTTTCTGGGGAACGCACACTGAACACGCCACGGCGTTCTGTGCCATCACCATCGTCGTAACCGGACGAGCGCTTTGTGGTGTGAACAAGTGGATGCTGTGCACCGCCATGGTTATCTTGGATACGAGGCCCAAAACAACAAAAGCGAGGACATGATCCCCCACTACCGGTGGGGGGCGGGCTATAAGAGGTGCCCAGAGTTGCACCATAAATTATCAATAGCATAATGAACGAAAAAAAGATTTTAATAACGAAATACAAATCATGCCATGTTCGCAATCTAAGCATGAATAGACATTATTACATTATGAAATAGCAAACCCTTATATTTTAATTTAGGTCTATGCAGACACGTTGATGTAGCAAAATAAAATGTGACAAATAGGGTGCCTCAAACATTGTTTTAATCGTGACCACTGCATCTAGACAAGTGAGCGCTCGTCTCAGGTGACCTACGACAGCCCTCTACAAAACACGTTCAGCACTCAGCAGTCTTTGGTGTCTCCGGGAGGCTTAGGCAGGGCGAGTCCAACCAAGCGTGCAGATTCTTCGACACTCCTTTCTTTCCGGCCATGATACTGCTGCTGCAACTCCTAATGAAAGAAAATAGTCTTCAATTAGTCCACTGGAGCACGTCAGCGGCTGCGTGTAACAACGTGAGTGGCGAAAGTACTTGTGCTGTCGGTGTTTTATACAGCGGGAAGACGTCAGTCCGAATGGGCGACTGGCGTCTCCGCTGTAAAAGACATGTTGTCCCTGCAGTGGCACTGCTAGCCCGGGCCTGTAACATCTATCACGCAGTGGTGATGCACGACCGCATGTCGGCACGATGTTCATTTAGATCGAAACAGAAAGGGGTGGAGATTTGAGCTGAGGAACCCGGGTTCTGCAGCGCGAGCTTTTGTATCACATGCTCCGAGCTGCGTAGAGCTATGTCGTACACGGCCCCTAATCCCCCTGGGGCGGTTTGCTCATCTTGCAACCGCGGCTGCGGCCAAGAGGGATTTTTATGTCACGTGACCAGCTTCATGGGGACAAGGAATTACCTAGCGTCCCTGCCTAATGGCTGAGAAATCCGTGTCGCTTCGAGTACCAAAGTTTAATATCGCTCGTAGAAACTGACCGCAGAGGCTTTCAACTGGAGTAAATATGACCCAAAATAAAGGAAAAATCAAGCGAGATAAAAGCGGTGCAGTATAGTTATATAACTACGCCAGCGTCGGCGATACTCGCCTTTTGCTGTAGTCGGGACTTGTCGTCGCGGCGTGAGACTTCCGAGATCAAATCACGCCAAAAACTCTTTTTATTATATTTTTTTTTTTTGTATTTTGCGCGTGTGTCTTATTTTTTAACTGTGATCCTTTTAACAAATCGTCCAAATCATCCACTTGCACTACTGCGCCTTCCGCGGTTTTTACAATTTGTCCCAAGTGTTGAATCGACACACCGGAAGAAAAATAAATATCAGGCCAAGTTAACCTTAATACAATCGTTTTATAATAGGTCTGTTCAATTCGCCTGAACCGGCTGAACTAGTTCAGCAGTGCAGGAACTGGTGCATTCGATTCAACCGAAAGTTGCACGGCCGCTGCACTGGCGTGTTCGATTCACCCCAGTTCTGAACGAGTTCAGACTCAGTTCCTCAAAATCTTGCACCGGCTCCGGAGTCAGTTCAGCGTCCGTGCAGAAGTGGACGACAAGAGCAGACGGCAATAGCAGACGACACTCCTTGTTCGTCTCTGCTCGCGGTACCATTTTTCGCAGCTCTTGCTCAGATGTCTGCGATGTTTAACAATAACGCCGATACGGACGTTGCATTTCCTCTCGTTTATGATAATAACGTAACCGCGGTGGACGCGGAATTGAGATCATAAGGAATTTGATTGATTATGATATTCTGAAAGCGTTTTAGGCACCTGCTCGTGTAGGTTTCGCTCCCCGTAGTAAGTGTTAAAATACTGGCTCACGTAAATTGTTTCTTTTTGATGCTATGTGGGGATCCACAGTGTTGATATTCTTCCTTACCAACACGGGAAAGGTATTGCACTCTTGATAGTCCCCGCCTTCAGTTGCTCTTGGATGCATACTGACGACTCCGATACATTGCAGAGGCCGGGTATTTAGTACATTGGCCCTCACATGCCCCGTAGCTGAGCTTTAATACTGCATGTTTTGTCCGCCGGTATCTGGACGCCCACAAACGGGCCTAAGAAAAACGACGCCGAGAATCGGCATTGGCTTGGTAGTTTTATCCAGGTCTTTCGTGGGATTCAGCATAAACGCTTCAGCTTGACGCCAAAGTTACGGTCGATAACTGTATTGGCCAAAACGCTATCGTCAGGCCTTCGTCTTCGAGGTGACCGCTATCGACCGCGCGCTGCCACCAGTGACCCTCGACGCAAAATCATCCTGATGCCGTGAACCTATCGTCGAAATGCGAAACTGGAGAGACTAGGATTGAATATACTATTGCTAAATGAATGTGAAGGACGCAAACGGTAATGGAAACGATAGGAACTAAGCGGCCGTTAAAAATGCAGACAGAAACACATTTCGTGCAGAAAACGTTTTTAATTTACGCGCATAAAAAAGAATCACAGAACAGATTCCGTTATTATACTTGAAAACTAAGGAAACACGAATGGTCTCATCAAACCGCGACGAATTAAATGTTGCATACGACGTGGCGAGGAGAAACCAGAGCCAACAGATGCAGACGACACCCAGCGCTTCCGCTTGTAAAGCCGATCACAGCGCCAGTCCTAGCGCGGCGGCTGCACTGGTTCTGCGCCGCCGCTGCACGGCTCCTGCACTCCTCTGAACTCGAACAGAACTAGTTCAGAACTTTCTAGCCGAATCGAACAGACCTAATGTTTATTAAAAAGGAACCAAGATTACAGCATCGGTATAACCTTCACACAAACGAGGCCGAAAAAAGCTTTCTTCCCCCAGCCACTACATGCACTTTTGTGTGTTTTCAAATATACGACGCTCTTGTTACGACTCCTTTCAACAACAGGAGGCGCCTAATTCGCACTTATACACACTGTGATAGTAACAATTAAAAAAAAAAAAAAAAACTTCCACCATTTCAGCGCAAGAAAAAAAAAAATTCCGGCGTGCTTTGAACCCGGAACTTTCACGCCGAGACGACAAGCACTGGCGCTCTTACCTCTCGACTAAAGCAGAAGGCTCAGGACTCCAGCGCTGGTGCGGAGACATAAGGAAGTTTTAGAATAACGTACGGTATTTTAGCGCACGCTAGCGCTAAATTTAGCGCTTGCTTTAGCGCACGCGACGCAAGAGACTTTTAGAATAGCGTTTCTCCGCCGAGACGCAAAGGCCCAAGCATCGCGCTTGCAACACCACCAAGATACAGTCACGATTTTTATTTCACACACGAGATGCTGCAACTTGAGAAAAAACAAGATTTTTGGTCCGGAGTAACAATTTTACATTCGTTTAAACGTGAGAGTGCGACGCGAGCGGTCGACCGGTCGTGTCCGCCGCATGCGTCGCCTCGGCAAGAGTGTACTACACACTTAAAATTTTTACACCCTTATTCGTGTAAATGGCTGGTCCTCTGGCTAACGCCTTTATTCGTGTAAGGGTGTTAGCCGCCGGAGGTGGTGAAAAACGTGTTAACTGCTAACACCCTAAAAACAATATGGCGGCCAGTATGCGACAGGCGATACGAGCCTGGCGAGCCGTACGCGGCTTCTCGCCGGAGCAAGAGCATACGGCTCGCACGCTCGTTTGGTGTCATCTGTAGGCGCAAAAACCTTTCCAAACATCTCTATGTCCAAGCGCCAACACCGCAAATAATACGAGTAAGGCCGAAACCGCTGGAGGCTGAACAGCCGAGACTGTCGCCGAAGTCTCGCTCGGCCTGCTCAATGCCGGTCGCATTTTCATCGCATCAGAAGCGCTTATAAAGAAGGGATAGCTTTACAAAACACTGACAGGCTGGCTTTATTGAACAAAACGCCCACTTGCCGTGGACAAGTTGACAACGAATCGCTCCGACACCCTCTGTCGACAGCGGCTAGGAGGTATCGCACTCGCGCTCCGTGTGGCTCTCGATTAACTATTGCCTGTGCTCACCTCTGTTACGTGCGTTATCCACTCATGAACGTTTGTGCGTGAACAGCGGCATTCAGCACCTAGAACACGCGCTGGGGAAGCCGCCTAACCTCCTTTTGTTGCAATCAGGCAGCATAACACGGCGACACAGCTACCAGGCTACCAGCGGAACCGTCCGAACCGAACAACTCGGAGCGATCAACACGACGGATGGACTAATGGCATCCAGCCCTCTAATAGTTATAGATCATCAACCGCCACACTTTTCAAATTGGGCGGCGACAACCCCCATCTAGCGACGAAAAAAAAAAAGTGATAAACATTTGAAAAAAGAAAACAGCAGTTTTTCTTGTTGCCCACCGCGCGGTTACATTCACTCACGACATCGACATACACACAACACTGCACATACACACGGGCATACAAGCACTGATCAATTGCACAACACACAACAAATACTACGTACAACCTACTTTTTTTTTTTTTTTCTTTATTGCCGTTTTTACAAGTCACTCACTGCGTACATGTCTGAGGTAGTAAAACAGCAGAAATGACAGTGTTACTTTCTACCAGCCGGCCTTTGGGCTAGTAGAATAAATTAAAATGATTTCAAATGCCTAACGGTTTCCGCACATTGAATCCAATCTGGCACGCAGCTCTGTGCCTTGTGTACTTCTACAATCAAGGCAAGACTCTCGCCGAAATATTCCCGAGCCTCACGCGCGTCGATATCGGCATGGCGCGTAGCCATCCGAGACCGCCAAATACTATGCAGGCCCAGTAACATAATCATATCAAAGGGCACGCCGTCCTCGTTTTCAACTGGAAGGTATCTAATTCCCTGCATGTCTAACGGAAAATCCTTCTTCAGGGTGCGTTGGAGGACATCCCAGAAGAAGACGCCATCCCAGCACTCCAGGAATACATGCTCGATTGTCTCGGGCTTTTTACACAAAAAACAGTGGTCGCCCCACGGGACGAATAGTCCCTTTTCTTTCATCCATGTCTTTACAGTTAAGGTGCCGGTGTGTAATTTGAAAAAGAATGACTTAACACCAGGCGGGACGAGCATTCTCTTAACGCGCTTTAAGACATCCTGTCCCGGGCCCGCACAATACAAGCTTCTATACAAAGGTACGGGAAAGAAAACGCCACATAGATCTCTATACAACTTTTTTCTGGATACTTGGCTCAAATACTCAAAAGAAAACCTGGCTGCCAAAAATTTACTTGAAAAGACAACTTCCTTGAGATATCCGTGGATGCCGCCTGGCACCCATGCCGAGGAAACGATAAACTCAGGCATATGTCTGCACAGTCTCACCTGGTAGACTGTTCGTAGAAACGGGTCACTGACATCCCGAAAGTAAATAAAACGATTCACAACTTGGCGCAAAAATAAATGTGACAATCCTAGTCCACCATCGCGGACGCGCCGAAAGAGGTTCATACGACTCGTCCGTTCAAATGACGAGCCCCAAATAAAAACAGCAAAGACGCGGTGAATTTT